TTGGGTTTGTTAAACCCATAAAATATATAGGTAAAGTTAATTTAGAATTACCACATGACCCAGCATTTCCACTCCCATATTCAAAAGAAAATTCTCAAATATGTATATATGTATGTTCATAGCAGCACTATCCACAGTAGCCAAAAGTTGGAAACAACCCAGGTGGCCATCAGCAGATGAATGAATAAACAAATTATTTGTGTGTGTTTGTGTGTATAATGAAATATTATTCAGCCATAAAAAGAAGTGAAGTACTGATTCATCATACAATGTGGAAGAACCTTGAGAACTTAATAAGCGAAAAAAGCCTGACAAAAGATCACATATTGTATGAATCCTTTCATATGAAACACTAGAATAGGTAAATTCATAGAAACAGAAAGCTAATTGGTGGTTGCCAGGGTCTAGAAGGAGGGGAACTGTTAATGCATAGTGGGTACAGGGTTTCCTTTTGGGGGATGGAAATGTTTTGGGACTAGATAGAGGTGGTGGTTGTACGACCTTGTGACTGTACTTAAATGCTACTGAATTGTTCACTTTAGAATGGTTAAGTTTATGTCATGTGAATTTCACCTCAGTTTTTAAAGTACCTATTTTTATTTTATTAAAAAATTTTTAAAGTAATCTCTGTACCCAACATGGGGTTTGAACTCATGACCCCAGGATCAAGAGTTACACGCTCCACCAACTGAGCCAGCCAAGTTCCCCAAAGTATATATTTTTAAAAGGTGTTCTTTGGCCTTTCCCCCTTCCACTGCACAGAGGTGATCGCCTTCAGGTCTTTCTGGTGTCTCTTTCATTCTGTAACTCCGCCTTTTTCAATATGATCACATTTCTCAATGTTAGATGTATACTTAAGCACTGTTTTATTTAGATTCACTAACCTAAAGACTGGTGGGTGAGATTTAAGTTCTCTTATAGCCTCTTGATTTTGCTTTACCTCCCCCTTACCCATACCCCCAATATAATTATCATTCTTGCCTAAATCAGTACTCTATGTTTAAATAATTATGATTCTGCTGTAGTTTGCTGTTGAGTCAAATAGTATACTATTATTATGTTTCCTCTCAGAGGACTTTTCTTTTTCCTAGATATAAATAATTGTCCTATTTTTCCCCCCACTAAAATAGGTATAAAGAAACTACGCAGAATCTTCCTGTACTCTTCCCACAACCTTTTGATACAATTTTCCACTCTGCCAAATGTGTCAGATTACCTGTCCGTCTGCTTTTTTCCTGGAGCCCTTTGTCTTGTTATAATAGATAGATAGGCTTATTAAGCCTGCTACACAACTGTGATCCTAGAAATTTTTAACTCTCTCCTGCACTGAATCTCTTTATTTCCTGTGTCCCATGTTCTTTCTTGGTTTACATTCTCTTTTGGCGGCACACATTCTCCAGTAGCTTCGTGAGAACTGAGATATAAGAGATGGTATTTTTTGAGTCTCAAACTGCTTGTATTCTGCCAGCACGTTGCTTGGCTGGGTAGAGCTTTCTGGGTTGAAACTCATTTTTCTTCAGAATTGTGAAGCCAAGGGGCACCTGGGTCATTCAGTCGGTTAAGCGCCTGACTCTTGATTTTTGGCTCAGGTCATGATCTCAGGGTTGTGGATCGAGCCCTGATTGGTCTCCACACTCAGCATGGAGTCTTCTGGAGTTTCTTCCCCTCTACCTCCCCCTCTGCCCCTTCCCCTGCTCACATGCTCTCTCTCTCTCTCTCTGTCAAATAAACAAATAAATGGAATCTTAAAAAAAAAAATAATGAAGCCACTGCTCCATCTTCTAAGATTACCACTGAGAATTTGATACTATTGTTTTTCTTAATCTTTTGTATCTACCCCCTCTTCTTTCCAAAAGCTTTGGAATCAAAATGCTTTCTTTCTCTATAGTGGTTTGATATTTCATGATGAAGCAAGGTAGTGTGGTCTTTATTCTTTCATTTTCTTGGGTGCTTGATGGACTCCTTGGGAATGTATCTTATATTATTTCTTTGATAGTTCTCTCAGTTCTCACTTTCGGGAGAGAACATTCGATCTTTGATTCGATCTTTGACCATCTCTTTCTCCTTTTTTTTTTTTTAATTTTTTTTTTTTTTGACCATCTCTTTCTCCTATTGCACATGTTTTTATATGACTTTTTTACTTTTGGGGAGATTGATTCACCTTATTTCTACTTACTATCTTTTTTTATATAGTAAGGAGAAACTCTATTTGTAGAGTATTTTGGGGGGGTGCATGGAGAGAGACTTTTGCAGTCGTGGGGGGATGGTAGCAACGGAGAAGATTGACTTCTGTGACCAGAAGATCTGCAAGTGCCTCTTGCCTTTTGTATTTTAATATTATCTCTCGGGGCGCCTGGGTGGCTCAGTTGGTTGGGCGACTGCCTTCGGCTCAGGTCATGATCCTGGAGTTCCAGGATCGAGTCCCGCATCAGGCTCCCTGCTCAGCAGGGAGTCTGCTTCTCCCTCGGACCCTCCCCCATCTCATGCTCTCTCTCTCTATCTCATTCTGCCTCTCAAATAAATAATAAATAAAATCTTTAAAAAAATATTATCTCTCAAATTTTTAATTTCTAGGAGTTCACCATTGTGGTCAATGTTTCTTCTCTTATTGCCCCCTTTCCACTCGCTGGATCCCATTCCATTCCCCTTCTTCTACTGCTTCTCTCCCTTACCCTCATTCTCCTCCCATACCCCTTCAAGTCATCTCCCCTATTTCTCCCTCTTTCCTGTGCTTCTCTTCTTCCGCCTTTCTCCAGCATTCTGTTCTTGATACACTGCTGTTGTATCTTCTCTTATCCATACGGACATGAACTGTGGAATTTTTTGTTGTTGTTGTTTACTTTGTTTTAGCTTTCTTCAGTGCCTGCCATATGGCTTTTATCTGTTTTTTTGGGGTTTTTTTGTCTCCGTTTGATGTCCATTGGTCTTTATAGGCAGGGCTCCATAAAGCTGGTGAAAGCTGTGTATGTGTGAGCAAGGCTTATGGACTGGTGGGTTTCACTGTAGGGTGACAGAACCGGGAGCCAGTTTTTCAGCAGGAGGGCACCCAGATGTCAGTGTTTGTAAGTTTCTGGAGGAGCTGTTCTGTTCCTTTATTATTTTTTTAAAGATTTTATTTATTTAAGAGAGAATGAGAGAGAGAGAGAGAGCACATGAGAGGGGGGAGGGAGAAGCAGACTCCCCACGGAGCAGGGAGCCCGTCACGGGACTCCATCCCGGGACTCCAGAATCATGACCTGAGCTGAAGGCAGTCGCTTAACCAACTGAGCCATCCAGGCGCCCTGTTCTGTTCCTTTAAAGAGCAAAGATTTTCTGGGGCAACTGGGTGGCTCAGTCGTTAAGCATCTGCCTTCGGCTCAGGTCATGATCCCAGGGTTCTGGGATCGAGCCCCGCATCGGGCTCCCTGCTTGGCGGGAGGCCTGCTTCTCCCTCTCCCACCCCCCCTGCTTGTGTTCCCTCTCTCGCTGTGTCTCTGTCAAATGAATAAAATCTTAAAAAAAGATTTTCCAGTATCTTCTATGTAAATCAAAACTATCCCTTAGTTTATTATTTGTAAATGTAGGTATTTTAACATCACATTTCCATAGAATAATGCGCAGCTATTTATTCATTAAAGAATTGGACTTGATTCTTTCTATCGCTAAGCAATCTATAATGCTTTGTAACAACCCCTACATAGAATAATTTAAAGGTATTTAATATCTCAACATATATAAACCCACACATTTTTTTTTTCTACAAAGAGCCCATCTGCGTGTGGCTCTGTAGAAGTTTACTAATGCACCAGACACATATTGTGCCTGCTGGAGAGATGATCTATAGATAAATTGGCATCATATAGCTCAGAAAACTATAAATAAGAATCAGGGGCACCTGGGTGGCTCAATCGGTTAAGTGTCCAACTCTTTTTTTTTTTTTTAAGATTTTATTTATTTATTTGACAGAAACACAGCGAGAGAGGGAACACAAGCAGGGGGAGAGGGGGAGGGAGAAGCAGGCTTCCCGCCGAGCAGGGATCCCAATGCGGGGCTCTATCCGAGGACCCTGGGACCATGACCTGAGCCGAAGGCAGATGCTTAACAACTGAGCCTTGATTTCAGCTCAGGCCGTGATCTCAAGGTCATGGGATTGAGCCCCACATCCGGCTCTGTGCTTAGCACAGAGTCTGCTGGAGATTCTTTCCTTCTCCTTTACCCACTGCCCCTTCCCCTGTTCACATGTGTGTGTTCTCTCTCTCTCAAGTAAATAAAATCTTAAAAAAAAAATAAAGAATCAGAAACACCTGGCTTTGAATTGCAGTGTGTCATATACAAGCTGTGTGACACTGAGTGAGTCAGAATCCTTTCTGAGCCTCGGTTTCCTAATTAATTCCACCATGTGCCTGACCCTGTACTAGCACTGGAATAAGAGTAGCAAATAAAGTTTCCTCCCTCCATGGAGCTTCTGTTTCTTTTACGTTGTTAATAACTACAGTTCTGTTGTAATGCTCATGTCTTCCATCCTGGCATTTCTGTGGTTAAAATACTGCTAACACATACTTTTGTTGTCTGTACACTGTGTTTTTAATAATTTCTTAAGAATATTATATGCATTTATACCATTTGATTTTTTGAATCTAAACCTGAAATGTTAAAAGTGTAATGAACTATAATAGATTGGAAAATTAACTAAAATAGTATTTGTTTACTACAATTCATCTGAGGGCAATGTATCCTTTAATGTGTTGTAACTAGTATATAAATGTTGCATCTTCAGCTCTTTGGTATAATCTTTTGCTGATTGTTTTTACATTATCTCTCATGTTATAAGATATTGTTAATATCTAAGTCTAGGAATTGGGATTCCCAAGATACTGATTAAAAAAAAATTATGGAATAGAAATTTGTGCGCTTCAGAGGTTTATAGAACTCAAGATTCTTTTTATAATGCATGTTCTTGAAGTGTTATCTCCCTAAGGGCACTAATGGATGCTTTTCCTTCCCTCATTTTCTCATTTTAGGAAAACTAAAACCAACAATGGCATTCATGTCAGGAAAATTGAAGATTAAAGGAAACATGACCCTAGCAATCAGATTGGAGAAGCTAATGAATCAGATGAATGCCAAGTTATGAAGGAAAAGAAAAAAAAATGTCGATCACTAAGCTCAAAAAGTAAAAGGGATCAACAGTTAAAATCTGTTTGTTTTTTTCCCTTTCGTATTATAAGGATATGCAAATTTGTTTTGGAAAAAACAGAATTTCTGTATCTATAAGACTTGAAATTGTAATTAAAACGGCTAGCTAATTAAACATAAGCTTCATTAAGTGGAATTCTAAGACAGTCTGCCCATGGAATTTTCTGAGTTTTGCCCTCTGAGAGCTAGATTTCATTCATTGTGGGAAAGGTATGACCCGGTTTAAGGAGTAAAATTAGCTCTTCTTTATCTCCCATGTAAAAGGAGATTAATCTGTTTTAAATTTTTCAGTTTGGGATTGTATGCTAATGAAATATTAATGATATTTTAGATTTTCATATACTTGTTTTAAGGAAGATCTTCTATAATGCATTTTTGCAGAAATCACATAAACTAATAAATAGTGAAGACTAATGAAACAAAAACAGTTTTTCATTCTAACTAGCTTTCCAGGTATAAGTTACCTATTAATGTAATTTTGCTAATGTAATTCAGTATGTATCCTCTTTTAAATGTGTAAAAATATCTTAAAATAAAATAATTTCTCCCCAGAAGTATGCACTTGGTCACAGTGTTGTAAAAAGAGAACGTCAGAATAGATGGTTGTTAAGTGCTGAATTGTAAACCTCTCAGGCTCATTTGTTGAAATCCTAACACACATACACACACACACACGTCCTCCCCACGTCCCCCCCACGTTGAAAGAATTATTAAGTTAAAATGAGGCTTTTAGGGTGGGTTCTAATCCAGTCAGACTGGGGTCCTTCTAAGAAGAGGAAATTTGGAGATAAAAGACCAGGGATGCACACACAAAGGAATGACCATGTGAGGACCAGCAGGCCTCAGAAGAAATCACAGCTACCAAGACTCCTGTTCTCCAGAACTGAAAGATATCTATTGGTTTAGCACCCCAGTCTGTGGTATTTTGTTTTGACAGCCCCAGTAAGCTCATACAATGGTTTGTTTTTCTTTTTTCTTTTTAAAGCTAAGGTTTAAAAAAAAAGTCCTTTCCTTTCACTTTAATCAGTTAAAAATACTTGTTCAGTGTAATTCTTTTACTTCTCATCTTCCGTTCTGTAATATTACTGTGCTTAATTCTGACATTTCCTAGAATTGTAATGTTAGAAGCATTTAATGTCTACTTTACAAATGAGGAAACAGGATCAGAAAATGAGAAAATTAACAAAATCCCTATCCAACAAAAACCTCCCAGGGCATCAGCCTTGAATAGAACCTGAAGACCTTACCTCCCCATCCAGGAAGCCCAGATGGATTGCCTTTGGGGTGGCAGCCTCACAACTCCCTTTGCATCTGCCAGTCATTCCTAGCTATGTGAAGATCCTGGTCAGGTGTTGCCAGCCGGCTCGTTTTCTACTGAAGCTTATTAAAGTCTTCTCTCTTTGCATTTTCCAAATGGTCTCAAAGCTTTGGGAAAATAAAAAGAAAATATTGTGAGACAGGAATTCTGGGTTCTAATCACTAAAACATGAACTTGCTTACTAAGAGGCTTTGGGATATCAGGAAAAAATATTTTCACAGGGCCCTGGTTTTCACATCTATAAGTGAGGGAGTTGGATTAGGTCATCTGCAGCCCCTTTGTGCTCATTATTACTAAGAAGTACCAAACAATTTGCAGTATCCTATCAGAAATAAAGATAGCCACACCAAGGTTCCTGAAGCCTCTTGCAACATCCCCCTGATACCTTAATGAATTCACGTGTTCCCTTTCCATGGATCTTGCCCATTAATTGCACTGAAGTTGTAGAACCTCCCAGAAGTTTTGAATGGCCATTTTGTGTGTTGTCCAGCAGCCAGTTGAGCCCATTTCTGGAATTAAATGGTATGGAGGTAAATCAAGGCCATGGGTCTTGTTAATGATTGAGTGAAGTTATTTAGACATTATTTTTAAGATGGTTTGTTGCTAGTAATCCAATATTTCAACAAATCCTCTTATATAGTGTCTCTTAAATAAACCTCTTAAGTAGAAGAAAAAAAGTCTTTTCCCTCTACCTATCAAGTTTTCAGCTGGGGCCCTGTAAATTAGATTAACAAAAGATAGCTTAACAAGAGAAGAAGAAATTGAAGTTTACTAACGTGCATTACAAATATACATGGGAGTATTCAGACATGAGTACCTCTAAGGAGTGGTTAGAACTTGAGCTTTCATAACATCTTAAAAGAACAATAGATTTTTGGAGAAATAATACAAAAGAAAAGAACTTTGAGTTTCTAAAGTGGCAAATTGTGCAAAGGAAAATATATATTAGTTTTATAAGAAACTGCAAACTGTCTTCCAAGTGGCTGTACTGTTTTGCATTCCCCCCAGCAATGAACTTGTGTTCCTGTTGCTCCACATCCTCTTGGGTATTTGGTATTGTCAGTGTTGTGGATTTTGGCCATTCTAACAGGTGTGTAGTGGTATCTCCGTTTAGTTTGCAATGTTGAACATCTTTTCATGTTTACTTGCCTCTGTATCTTCTTTAGTAAGGTGTCTGTTATGGTTTTTGGCCCAGTTTTAAATTAAGTTGTTTTCTTACTGTTGCATTTTAAGAGTACTTTGTATATTTTGGAAAACACTCCTTTATCATATGTCTTTAGCAAATATTTTCTCCCAGTCTGGGACTTGTTTTCTTATTCTTTTGACATTGCCTTTTGCAGAGTAGAAGTTTTTCATTTTTTTAAAAAATCTTTTTAAGTTTATTTATTTTAAGTAATCTCTACCCAGTGTGGGGCTCGAACTCACAACCCCGACCGAGATCAAGAGTCACATGCTCTTCTGACTAAGCCAGCCAGGTGCCCCAAAGTTTTTCATTTTAATGAAGTCCAGCTTAGCAATCATTACTTTCATGGATTGTGCCTTTGGTGTCCTATCTAAAAAGTCATTGCCATACCCGAGGCCATCTAGGTTTTCTCCTGTCATATTCTAGGAATTTTATATTTTGCATTTTACATTTAGATCTGTGATCCATTTTGAGTTAATTTTTGTGAAAGGAGTAAAGTCTTTGTTTAGATTCTTTTTTTTGCATGTGGATATCCAGTCCCAGCACTGTTTGTTGAAAAGACTGTCTTCTCCTTTGTCAAAGATCAGTTGACTGTAGTTATGTGGGTCTATTTCTGGGTTCTCTATTCTGTTCTACTGGTCTATTTGTTTATTCCTTCACCAATACCACACTGCTTGGTTACTACAGCTATATAGTAAGTCTTGGGAGTCAGGTAGTGTCAGTCCTCCAACTTTGTTCTCCTTTAATACTGAATTGGCTATTCTGGGTCTTTTACCTCTCCATATAAGTCGTTAGAATCAGGGTCACCTGGCTGGCTTAGCTGGTGAAGCATGTGACTCTTGACCTTGGGGTTGTGAGTTCAAGCCCCACATTGGATGTGGAGCTTACTTAAAATGAAAAACTTTGAAATCAAAAGTACAAGTATTTCTCAGTTAAAAAAAACTTAGAATCAATTTGTTGATAGCCACAAAATAATTTGCTGGGATTTTGATTGGCATTGCATTGAATCCATATATCAGTTTGGGATAAACTGATATCTTGACAATATTGAGTCTTCTTATCAATGAATATGAACTATCCATTTATTAAGTTGTTCTATGGTATCTTTCATAAGAGTTTTGTAGGTTTCCTCATACAGATCTTGTTAGTTTTTTTTTTTTGATCTTGTTAGATTTTAAGAGTTGTACCTCAGTATTTTGGGGGGGTGCTAATATAAGTGGTAATGTGTTTTAAATTTCAAATTTCACTTCTTCATTACTGGTTTTGGAAAGTGATTGACTTTTGTATATTAACCTTATATCTTACAACCTTACTATAATCATTTATTAGTTCCCAGGAGGGTTTTTGTTTTTTTTTTTTAGTCATTTTTTTCAGGTTTTCTACAGAGACAATTATGTCAGCTGTGAACATAGTTTTATTTCTTCCTTTTATTTCCTTTTGTGGTGTTATTGCATTAGCTAGGACTTCCAGTATGATGTTGAAAAGCATTAATGAGAGGGGACATCCTTGCCTAGTTCATGATCTTAGTGAGAAAGTTTCTAGTTTCCCACCATTAGCTGTAGGGTTTTTGTAGATATTCCTCATCAAGTTGAGGAAGTTCCCTCTATTCTTAGTTTACTGAGAGATTTTAACATGAGTGGGTGTTAGATTCTGTCAAATGCTTTTTCTGAATCTATTGATATGATCTTTTGTTTTTTTAAAGATTTTATTTATTTTTTGACAGAGACACAGTGAGAGAGGGAACACAAGCAGGGGGAGTGGGAGAGGGAGAAGCAGGCTTCCTGCAGAGCAGGGAGCCCGATGCGGGGCTCTATCCCAGGACCCCGGGACCATGACCTGAGCCGAAGGCAGACGCTTAACGACTGAGCCACCCAGGCGCCCCTATTGATATGATCTTCTTGCCTGTTGATGTGGTAGATTATTATTTTTGAATGCTGAACCAGCCTTGCATACCTGAAATATGGTTGTTTTTATATGAGTATTCAAGCCCTATGCCCATTTCATATGTTGAAATCCTAACCCCCAAGACGATGGTATTAGGAAATGGGGCCTTCAAGAGGTGATTAGATCGTGAGGGTAGGGCCCTCGTGATTGGATTAGTGCCCTTAATAGACCCCAGAGAGCTAGCTGCTCCCTTTTACCATGTGAGGACACAGTGAGATGGAACAATCTATGAACCAGAAATCAAGCCCTTATGTCTACTGACTCTGCATGTGCCTTGGTCTTGAACTTCCTAGCCTCCAGAACTGTGGGAAATAAAGCTTATTGTTTAAAGGCTACCCAGTCTCTAGTTCAGAGAGTCCCTGATTTAATGATGGTTCAACTTACAATTTTTCAACATTGTGATGGTGTGAAAGTGCTAGACATTCAGTAGAAACCGACTCTGAAATTTGAATTCTAATGTTTTCCTGGGGTAGTGATATGTGGTATGATACTCTCTCTCATGATGCCGGTCAGTGGCAGTTGGTCACAGCTCCCAGTAAGCCACTCGGTCATAAGGAGGAACAACGGATACACTTAACCATTTTGTACCCATACAACCATTCAATAAATTACATAAAATATTCAACACTATCATAAAATAGGCTTTGTGTTAGATGATTTTGCCCAACTGTAGGATAATGTAAGTGTTCTGAGCATGTTTAACACAGGCTAGGCTAAGCAAGGGTGTTTGCTAGGTTATGTGTATTAAATGCATTTTGATATTTTCAATTTACAATGGGTTTACTGGGACAACCCCATGGTAAGTTGAGGAAGATCTGTATTTTGTTATGGCAGTGCGAACAGGCTATGACAGTTCTGGCATATAGTTCTTTTTATACATTGTTGGATTCCATCTACTAATATTTTGTTGAGGACTTTTGTATGTATTCATGAGAGATACGTGTCTGTAATTTTCTTGTAATGTCTTTGTCTGGTTTTGGATTAGGGTAATGCTGTCTTCATAGAGTGGATTAGGCATATTTTCTGTATTTCTGTCTTCTGAAAGGGACTAGAGAGAAATGGTATAGTTTCTTCATTTAAATGTTTGTTAGAATTCATGAGTGAGGGGCGCCTGGGTGGCTCAGTCAGTTGAGCGTCTGCCTTCAGCTCAGGTCATGATGTCAGGGTCCTGGGATCGAGTCCTACATCGGACGCCCTGCTCAGCGGGGAGTCTGCTTCTTTCTCTCATCTGCCTCCCCCATCCCCTGCTCTCACTCTCCCTCTTTCTTAAATAAGTAAAATCTTTTTTAAAAAATGAAGTCTCTTTAGAGAAGATTTGCTATTTTTCTTGCAGGGAGACAGAACATGGAAAGATCATCTTGATCCACCTAGTCACTGAAATAGTTCAGGCTGTTTTAGGCATTGTTACTGCTGTTTCTGATTTGCTTTTACTCTCAGGGTATAGTTCTTCAAGTGTCTCAGTTGAGATTCTTGAGGTGTGTACCAGGGCCCCTCCTTCCTGTTTAATTCCTTCTAGCACTGAGACAGCTAAGTGTTAGTGCTCAGATTTTTTTTTCTTTTTTTGTCTTAGCAGTTGGTTTCCTGGCTTCTTGCCCCTTGTGTGTACAGATTAGGAATTATCAAATGCTTTGAGGATAAATGGCATGTAGAGTGATTGGCTCTTCTTGCTGTGATTACCTTTTCTCTGGGATATTGGGCTTTCAATTCCTAGCTGTCTTGATAGACTTGACCTCCAAATTTTGTATCTGTAGCCCAATCAGACTGTCAAAAATTCTAGGATGTTTCTCACTGTTTGGTTTCTATACTCCTAGACACAAATCAACAATGCCCTAAGAAAGAAAAGTGGTTGAGAATGTAAGATTCACTTCAGTGTGTTTCCCTTCTTGCTGAGCTCTTGGACTCTCAAGCCTTGGTTGCTCTAGAATAGCTTTAAACAACCTTTAAATACAACGTTTATAGTTCCAGTTCTTAGTGGGAGAGGTAGTTTATTCAACAAGGTAGCCCATCATAGCTGGAAGTCTGCATCATTAAAGAAATTCATCATGATGGATATATCCTTTAAATGAGATTGTATTTTAAAGAAGTTATTTGTGGTAAAAAACACAATATAAAATTTATCCTCTTAACCACCTTTAAGTATACAGTTCAGTGGTGTTAACTATACTCACATTGTTGTGTGACAGATCTCTCTAGAGCTTTTTCATTGTGTCAAACTAGAATTCTATATTCATGGAACAACTCCCCATATTCCCCTCCTCCAGTTCCTGGCAACCACCATAATACTTTGTTTCCATGATTTTGACAACTCTAGGTATTTCATGTAGGTGGAATCATATTCCAGTAGTCCTTTTGTGACTGGTTTACTTTACTCAGCAGAATATCCTCAAGATTCATCCATGTTGTGACATATGACAGGATTTCTTTCTTTAATGAAGAAATATAAGATTTCTTTAAGTCTGAGTAATATTCTATTGTATGTATGTGCCATATTTTGTTTATTCATTCATCCATCTATGGACATTTGGGCAGCTTTCCCCTCTTGGCCATTGGAATATGCTGCAGTGAACATGGGTGTGCAAATATCTTTTCAAGTTACTGCTTTAATTGCTGGATATATACCCAGAGGTGGGATTTCTGCATCATAATTTTATTTTATTTTTTGAAGAAGTTTTCTATAGTGGCTGTACCATTTACATTTCCACCAGCTATGCTTAAGGTTCCAATTTCTCCACAGGATTACATATTTGAAATACGTGGCAATTAACTTTTTTTTTTTTTGGACAGACATTATTCTATCAAAAATGTTTACATAGTTGTTGTTGTTTTTTTTTTTAATTCAGCCTAGACCAGGAAGAGTGTTGACAGAACAAGGTGTTAAGAATCCTTTCTTTAAAAAAAAAAAAGAATCCTTTCTTTTTTGTTCGGAAGTTAGTCTGGTTTACTTAGCAGAATATCCTCAAGATTCATCTATGTTGTGACATATGACAGGATTTCTTTCTTTCTCTGCCTCATATTCTTCTCTCTCCTCATGTACAGCAAGGGTAAGAGGGACTGAGGTTTCCTTGTCACAGTGGGGTGAGGTCAGGATGTGAGCACCATATTTGGCTAATCAGTCAGACATGCTTTAAATGTTATTTATTACCACTATTATTATTTTGGAGATACTTAATGCTGTAAGTGGAAAGGGGATTAAGAGCTTGGAATCTGGCTCCAAATCGCCTGGGATGAATCCGGGTTCTTCCAGCTACTGTATGATCTTGGGCAGATGTCTTAATTCCTCTGTGCCTCAGTTTCCTCATCCATAAATTGGCAATTAGCTAACAACCCCCACTGCATAGAGTTCTTAGGATTAAATATCCCCTAAGCACTTAGTGTAAACCCCGGTCACATATAGTAAGTACTATAAAAGTGTTTGCTAGGTAAAATAAAGGTGGAGGGCGCCAGCCTCACCTCTAGGATACCGAGCTGTGTAGGTGGTGTTATTGTATGCCTCCCTGGTCCTAGTGTGTTTTAGGTGTTATTAAACTACCCCCCCCCCACCATGGGATGGATGAGAGTGTTGTAGTTGGGACTGGGAACTTCCACTGGGCAGCAATGACTGTGGGTTGTAAGTCAGCAGATGTTCCTGTACATGACTGCTCGGTGCGTTAAAACAGGTGTTACACACCAGACAAACGGAGCAGGTTCTTGCAAGGTCCGCTCCTTGCATTTAGGTGAAGCTCTGCGGAGCTCCAAGGGGGCAGCAAGGATCGCGGGCCAGGGCGCGCGGCAGGACGGAGTGCTGCCTACTTCAGAACATCGCAGGGACCGTGGGTTCCACACCTGTCTGGGCACAGAGACCGAGCTCGTGCGCGCCGGTGTGTGCTAGGAAGATCGGTCCACACCTCCTCCCGGCAGCGACGACCGGGAGCTCCGAGCGCTTCGTAGGAGGTGTCGTTACACACTTCCTGTGGGTCTCGCGGACCACAGCGCGTTTCCGGTGCCGGCTGGAGCCCGGGGTCCAAGCCCCCGCCCCGTTCGCCAGCCCCGCCCCGCCCGCGCCCCGCGCCCCGCCCCCCGCCCGCCGCGCTCCGAGCCGGGCGCGCGGAGCCCGGGGCGCACGGAGCGGCGCGCGCCGGTCGGCAGAGCCAGGCTGGCGCCCCCGCCCCCC